CCCCTGTGCATCAGCACTCCTGTATCCCTTGGATAAATTCCTAGCAGTGCTACTGCTGGGTCATAGGGGAGTTCTATTGTTAATTTTTTGAGGAACCTCCATACTGTTTTCCAGAGGGGTTGTACCAGCTTACATTCCCACCAACAGTGTAGGAGGGTGCCTGTATCTCCACATCCTCGCCAGCATCTAGAGTCTCCTGACTTGTTCATTTTAGCCACTCTGACCAGTGTGAGGTGGTATCTCAGTGTGGTTTTGATTTGTATTTCCCTGATGAGGAGGGATGCTGAGCATCGTTTCATGTGTCTGTTGGCCATCTGGATGGCCTCTTTGGAGAAGTGTCTGTTCATGTCTTCTGCCCATTTCTTCACTGGATTATTTGTTTTTCGGGTGTGGAGTTTTGATGAGTTCCTTATAGATGCTGGATACTAGCCTAGTCCTTTATCTGATATGTCATTTGCAACTATCTTTTCCCATTCCGTCAGTTGCGTATTAGTTTTGTGGGTTGTTTCCTTTCCTGTGCAGAAGATTTTAATCTTGATGAGGTCCCAGTAGTTCATTTTTGCTCTTGATTCCCTTGCCTTTGGGGATGTGTCAAGTAAGAAATTGCTGCGGTGGAGGTCAAGGAGGTTGTTTCCTGCTTTTTCCTCTAAGGTTGTGATGGTTTCCTCTCACATTCAGGTCCTTTATCCATTTTGAGTCTATTTTTGTGTATGATGTGAGAAAATGATCTAGTTTCATTCTTCTGCATGTTGCTGTCCAGTTCTCCCAACACCATCTGTTAAAGAGGCTGTCTTTTTTCCATTGGATGCTCTTCCCCCGCTTTGTCAAAGATTAGTTGGCCATACATTTGTGGGTCCAATTCTGAGTTCTCTATTCTAGTCCATCAGTCTATGTGTTTGTTTTTGTGCCAATACCATACTGTCTTGATGATTACAGTTTGTAGTAGAGGCTAAGGTCTGGGATGGTGATACCTCCTGTTTTGGTTTTCTTCTTCAATATTAATTTGGCTATTCAGGGTCTTTTGTGGTTCCATACAAATTTTCATGGGTAGTCATGACATTTTGACAATATTTATTGTTCCGACCCATGAGCATGGAATGTTTTTCCATTTCTTTGTGTCTTCTTCAGTTTCCTTCATAAGTTTTCTATAGTTTTCATCATACAGATCTCTTATATCTTTGGTCAGGTTTATTCCTAGGTATTTTATGGTTTTTTGTGCAATTGTGAATGGGATCAGTTTCTTGATTTCTCTTTCTGTTGCTTCATTATTGGTGTATAAAAATGCAGCCGATTTCTGTACGTTGATTTTGTACCCTGCAAGATTGCTGAATTCATGGATCAGTTCTAGTAGGCTTCTGGTGGAGTCTGTTGGGTTTTCTATGTAGAATATCATGTCGTCTGTGAAAAGTGAAAGTTTGACTTCTTCTTTACCAATTCTGATGCCTTTTATGCTATATTCTTTATAAAACATATACATATAAAGAAGGTCAATTTTGAAAAAGTTTTTGACATTTTTAGAAGTTAAGGCTCAAATAGCAAATATTATTCATTTCTATAATGAACAATATATAGATATGTTAGTTACTTTTTTCAAAACACATGAACATAATCAAATACATGAATCCATTACTTTTCCTTTTTTGTACTCTAATATTTATTTTATTTAAAACTGGCATGATTGGGGACTGGGTGGCTGGGTGGCCTTGGTGGCTCAGTCGGTTGGGCATCCGACTTCGGCTTAGGTCATGATCTGACAGCTTGTGGGTTTGAGCCCCGCATCAGGCTCTGTGCTGACAGCTAGCTCAGAGCCTGGAGCTGCTTCAGATTCTATGTCTCCCTTTCTCTCTGACCCTCCCCTGCTCACGCTGTCTCTCTATGTCTCAGAAATAAATAAAACATTTTAAAAAATTAAAAAAAATAAAACTGGCATGTTTGTTCACATAAAGTTCAATAAAATAAAACTTTTAGTTATCTGCATTTCTTTTTTGGATATTATCACTATACATTTCATTTCATTATTATTACTGAAAATAATTTTGTCCTGTACAAGAGGAGGGTTGTTCAAAAGTGTGTCTGTTGGGGCGCCTGGGTGGTTCAGACAGTTAAGCGTCCAACTCTTGATTTTGGCTCAGGTCATGATCTCATGATTCATGAGATCGAGCTTCACGTGGGGCTCCGCACTGGCAGTGCAGAGCCTGCTAGGATTCTTTCCCTCTTTCACTCTCTCTGCCTCTCCCCTGTTCATGCTCTCTGTCTGTCACTAAAAATAAGTAAACATTAAAAAGAAATGTTTCTGTCTCTTCTGTCAGATACAGCAAATACACCTCTGGCTACAAAAATACCAAGTAACTCTGCTGGGGGTAAACTTTAATCTCTTAACTCCTGGTTGTGCCACCTGCACATTCTAGGGCACAACAAAGAGAGACTCTCCTGTCTAATCTCAATTCATCCTTAAGAAAAAGTATATTATAAATAATTTTTTAGAATAAAATAAAACATTGGACTCTAAAATGAGTTTCAATTAAAATTAAAATTTGTTTTCATTTGAAAATCGCAAAATATCACTGTGAAGTAAATTTTAAAACGGTACCTGATCCTTTTGCATTTCTGTGTAGCTTTGCAAGGGACACTTTGAGATTCAAAAGAAGAATTTATTGAACAACAAGAGGTTACAGGGATGATAGTAGAAATAACCAGACACTGCCACGAAGAACACAGTAGAAGCTGAGAACAAATGGAGTTAATCTCTGAAAACCCATGTCTTTATTGGTTTTAATTTTTAAGATGAGTTTATTTTTTTAAGTTTATTTATTTTGAGAGAGATAGAGCATGAGCGTGTGCACACATGAAGGGGGAAGGGGTGAAGAGAAAGGGAGAAAGAGAATCCCAAGCAGGCTCTGTGCTGTCACTGTGGAGCTGGAGGGAGGGCTGGAGCCCACGAACCCTGAGATCATGACCAGAGCCGAAATCAAGAGTTGGATGCCTAACCAACTGAGCCACCCAGGTGCCTCAAAACACATTTTATACACTAAATCTCCACTGTAGAATCAGAACACACCAGAATATGCAAGCATGCATTCCATTGACCAACAGAGTCATGATGTCATCACATCACGTGTAGCTTCTGGAAGATTCCACCATACATTGAGAAGAGAGTGACAGTGAAAAAGGCAAGTGATGTTTTGGGTTTACCATGAAGATCGTTTTGAACACAAGGAACCCCCTGCAGGATGGCAGGGATCCCCTTGTCCCTGGCCACACTTAAAGAACTACTGTTCTAGATGCTTGATATTTTAAAAGTTATCTATGAAAATTGCTGTACTTTTTTTTATGTTTTGCAACCCTAAAGCAGGTATTGGTAATTCCACGTCAGTATCCTCCTCAGCCAAGGCTTATTCTGCCTTCTCATAAAGTTAACTCTTATCAGCTTGTCAAGTCATATTAATAAGGCTAAGAGTAAGAAAGTGGAAGAATGGGGGCGCCTGGGTGGCTTAGTCGGTTAAGCGTCCGACTTTCGCTTGGGCCATGATCTCGCGGTTCGTGGGTTCGAGCCCCGCGTCGGGCTCTGTGCTGACTGCCAGCTCAGAGCCTGAAGCCTGTTTCAGTCTGTGACTCCCTCTCTCTCTGACCCTCCCCTGCTCACCCTGTCTCTCTCTGTCTCCTAGAAATAAATAAAACATTAAAAAAAAATAAAAAAGAAAAGAAAGTGGAAGAATGGTGGGCACTTTTATTTCATGAAATTAACTAATTGATTAATTAAAATTAGAGAGGAAATGCATAATCTTGGTTCAAGGCTAGAATCAAGTTCCTTGTTCCAGTTTGACTGGAAGGAATGAAGATTTGGATAAGAACATCAACCTTCCCTATCTAGGGTCTTGCTGCTCCAGCTTAACTGTGGGAAAACCTGGCTAGAGGATCACAGGGACAAAGGCCTTAGCTTCCTCTCTCACATAGCAATTGTAACATTTTTCCTGTCCTGTCGTCTAGTTGGAATATCGCATCCCCAGAGCTCTCTCGAACATTGAGTTTAATGTGATAATTAGTTACAATTACATTGCTCATTAAACAAAATGATTTTACACTAATGTGCTATTAAGACTGGAAAGTTGTTAAATTGTGAAATACCTCGTGCTATATGTCTTTGATTCTAAGATGCACATTTGGATACATTTTAACAACACTGAAATGAGAATGTTTTTTCTTTAGTTATTTTTTTAAGATTTATTTATTATTTTCGAGACAAAGCACAACAGCAGGGAAGGGGCAATGAGAGGAGGGGACAGAAGAACTAGAGCAGGCCCTGCACTGACAGCAGCAAGCCCCATGCAGGGCTTCAACCCACAAACCCATGAAATGTGAGATCATGACCTGAGCTGAAGTTGGACTCTCAACCCACCGAGCCACCCAGGTGCCCGAGAAGGTTTTTTTCAAAGATGCATCAGTTTAACTGGTGGGGTTTCCTCTCCCATTTTTGTGAAATAAGTTTTTGATTATATTTCTTTTGATATAATTACATATGCTTATTTCATGAGGAAAACTAGAATATATTTCCTCTTTAATAATTTCTATATTTTTTCTATTAAAAGAGTTTAGAGAATCTGGTGATAATTTGTTATGTGTACAAATATTTTCTGAAATGTGCATTTCCACATTATGTGCCTCATAGCAGTTAGGAAATGACCATTAAATTATGTTCATGTAAATTGTTCAAAAGGTTGCTCTCCTTTTCAAAAAAAACCTTTTGGGACGCCTGGGTACCCCAGTCGGTTAAGCACCTGACTTCGGCTTGGATCACGATCTCATGGCTTATAAATTCGAGCCCAGCGTCAGGCTCTGTGCTGACAGCTCAGAGCCTGGAGACTCTTTTGGATTCTGTGCCTCCCTCTCTGCCTCTCCCCCACTCCTGCTCTCTTTCTCTCAAGAATAAAATTAACATTGAAAAAATCTCTTTTGCTTATGTTTTAAGTTTGATGTTGAGTATTTAATTTTGTTCATAATAGGTTTATTTTAGGACAGTGGAACTTATAGAAGAGTCCATTGAAGGGTCTCAAGGTTTGAGTTTCTACTTCAAAATTAATGGATTGCCCATATTTCTGAAAGGCTCAAACTGGATCCCAGCAGATTCGTTCCAGGATCGAGTAACCTCTGACTTGTAAGTCAACTGTTTTTTCATTTCTTCTTTTTCTTTTTATTAATGGTCCCACAAAACTAAAGAGTTACTCATTTTTTTGCTTTCTTTCGTCCCAGTGGAAGGAACCCAGAGATAAGACAGAATTCTAGGATGATGGAAACTTTAGAATGGAAAGGAGTTTTAAATAATATATTCACTTTTCATGAGCTATAGATAGTCTTAACAGCTAAACTACTTGAGGCTGCTGGAACCGTCCAATTTTTAAAAAACTATCATATATTTCCTCTGGAGGAACAAGAAAATGTCTAGTGCACATTTTGGATAGTTAGTTCCTGGAAAAAAAAAAAGATTAAATTTGGCTTTAAAAAAATCTTAAATACTTATGTGCATTCTTTTTTAAAAAAGAAAACCCATATTTACTTCTTCGTTCTGAGCTCTTTGCATGTTCTTTTACTTTTACCTTACTAAAAAGAACTTTAAAAACTTTACAATTTTAAATCTAGAAAAAAATTTGAAGTGTTTCTCTGTATCTTTGAGAATAATCACACTTTACAAGGAAATAATATTTCCTGATTGCGATTATAAATTTTGCGATAGTAAAAATGAACTTAGTGAAGTGAAAATAAACACATTTAACTTATTTAGATATGGATAAATTTGCATTGTAGCATAATATATGGTATTTAGAATTTGCTAAAAAATTGTAGTAATTTGCTTTTACTTTAAACTGTTTAAGAGAGAGAGAGAAAGAGAGAGAGAAGGAGGCAAACTATTAGACAGAACCTTAACTATAGAGAACAAACTCAGAGTTGCTGGAGGGAAGGTGGATGGGGGATGGGCTAGATGGATGTTGAGTATTAAGGAGGGCACTTGTTGAGATGAGCATTGGGTGCTATATGTAAGTGATGAATCACTAAGTTCTATTCCTGAAACCAGTATTCTTTTATATGTTAGCCAACTAGAATTTAAATAAAAACTTGAAACAAGGAAAAACTTAAAAATAAAAAGATAGAGAAAGGCAAACCTAGAAACAGACTCTCAACTATAGAGAACAAACTGATGGTTGGCTACCAGAGGGAATGTAGGTGGAGTCATGGGTTAAATAGGTGATGGGTATTAGAGAGGGCACTTGTGATGAGCACAGGGTGTTGTACTTTTTTTAAAAAAATAATTGTTTATTTATTTTTGAACTCAAGAAATGTGAGATCATGACCTGACCTGAAGTCAGATGTTAACTTACTGAGCCACGGTGTTGTACCTAAGTGCTGAATCACTGTATCATATACCTGAAACTAACAAGACACTGTATGTTAACTAACTAGAATTTCAATAAAAATGCATTCAAAAACAAAAAAGAAAAAGAAAGCCCAGAAGTGGACTCACAACAGTATGATCAACTAATCCTCAACAAAGTAGGAAAGCGTATCCAATAGAAAAAAGACAGTTTCTTCAACCAGTGATGGTGGTTTAAAACTGGACAACAACATACGAAAGAATGAAACTGGACCACTTTCTTATACCATACACAAAAATAAATTCAAAATGGATGAAAGGTCTAAATGTGAGACAGGAAACCATTAAAATCCTAGAGAAGTCAGGCAGCAACTTCTTTGACCTCAGTCATAGCAACCTCTTACTAGACACATCTCTGGAGGAAAGGGAAACAAAAGCAAAAATGAACTGTTGTGACTTCATCAAGATAAGAAATTTCTGTACAGGGAAGGAAACAACCAGCAAAACTAAAAGGTAAACTTTGGATCAGAGAAGATGTTTGCAAATAAGATAGTATCCAAAATTGGTCATCAAACTCAATTCATCAAATTCAACACCGAAAAAAACAAGTAATCCAGTTAAGAAGTGAGCAGATGACATGAATAGACACTTTTCCAAAGAAGACATTCAGATGACTAATAGATACGTGAAAAAAGGCTAAAACATCACTCATCATCAGGGAAATACAAATCAAAACCACAATGAAATACTACTTCACACCTGTCAGAATGGCTAAAATTAACAACTCAGACAACAAGAGATGTTGGTGATGATGCAGAGAAAGGGGAACCCTTTTACACTGCTGGTAGGAATGCAAACTGGTGCAGCCGCTCTGGAAAACAGTGTGGAGGTTCCTCAAAAAGTTAAAAATAGAACTACCCTGTGATCTAGCAATTGCACTACTAGGTATTTACCCCCAAAATACAAAAATACTGATTCGAAAAGGCACATGCACCCCAATGTTTAGAGCAGCACTATCGACAGTAGCCAAATAATGGAAAAGAGCCCAAATGTCCATGGACTGATGAATGGATAAAGAAGTGGTGTGTGTGTGTGTGTGTGTGTGTGTGTGTGTGTACATATATATAATGGAATATTAAGGAGCCATAAAAAGAATGAAATCTTGCCACTTGAATTGATGTGGATGAAACTAGGGTGTATTTTGCTAAGCAAACTAAGTCAGAGAAAGACAAATACCATATGATTTCACACATATGTGGAGTTTAAGAAACAAAAGAGATGAAAATGGAGGGAGTAAAAGAGACAGGCAAAGCACAAAACAGACTCAACTATAGAGAACAAACTAAGGGTTGATGGAGATGGGCTATATGAGTGATGGGTAGTAAAGAGGGCAGTTGTGAGGACCACTGGTGTTTATATGCAAGTGATGAATCACAAAATTCTACTCCTGACACTAATATTCCACTATATGTTAGCTAACTGGAATTTAAGTATAAACTCAAAAAAGAAAAAAAGAATTAAAACAAGCAAACAAACAAAACTAAGCTGTGTATGTTGTCTTGAATTTCATATGAAAATGAAATTATTCTCCAGACAGAGACACAGATAATTTGCTCTCTTTTCCTTTTCAAAGGCTCCTCTCCTGGCTGGTTTTGGCAGTGGCTGTTTACCACAGCTGTGCCAATTAGTGAACCTGCCCATCGGTGCCTTTGCTGAAGCACAGTGCTCTGGGTCCTTGGCCAGCCAGTTATTGGCTTCTTGATTCCTCCCTGGGCTCTGTTCTGGAAATGCAGGGTAGATGTTCTCAAAGTGGCTGTAAATTGCTAGATTTTCCTTTGGGTCATGTGAATAGGAATTGGAAAAATCAGAAAGGAAATTTACTAGAGAAAGAAGCATAGCTGGTGCCCTACTTAGGATGGTTCAACGTGATTTTTTTTTTAAAATGTTTTATTTATTTCTAGGAGAGAGAGAGAGACAGCGTGTGCAGGGGAGGGTCAGAGAGAGAGGGAGTCACGGACTGAAACAGGCTCCAGGCTCTGAGCTGGCAGTCAGCACAGAGCCCGACGCGGGGCTCGAACCCACAAACCGCGAGATCATGACCTAAGCGAAAGTCGGACGCTTAGCCGACTAAGCCACCCAGGCGCCCCTCAACATGATTTTTTGACTTGACCATAGTGGAAGAGTAATATACATTCAGTAGAAATTACACTTTGAATTTTAAATTTTGATTTGTTCCTGGGCTAGTGATATGTGGTAGAGTAATATGTCATAATGCTGGGCTGTGGTGGCGGCCACAGGTCCCAGTCAGCCACATGATACTGAGGGTGATCAACCGATGTACTCACAACCCTTCTGTCCCCATTAACCATTAGCTTTTCACTTTCGTGGTAGTATTCAATAAATTACAGGAGATATTCAGTCCTTTATTAGACTGTGTGTTAGATGATTTTGCCCAACTATAGGTTAATGCACATGTTCTGAGCACATCTAAGGTAGGTTAGGCTAAGCTAGGATGTTCGATAGGTTCAGGTGTATTAAATTCATTTTCGACTTAGCAAGATTTTCAACTTACAATGAGTATTATTGGGATATGATCCCATCATAAATTGAGGAACATCTGTACTGGACTGGAGGAATTTAAAAAAGGAGATAAAAGTAAACTAGGTACTGGGGTGGCTTGGTTGGGCGTCTGACTCTTGGTTTTGGCTGAGGTCATGGTCCCAAAGGTTGTGATGGAGCCCTGCTTCGGGCTCTGCACTGGCAGCACAGAGCCTGCTTGGGATTCCCTCTCTCTCCTACTCCACTCTCTCTGTTCCTTCCCTGCTCATGCTTTCTGTCCTCTCAAAATAAATAACCTTAAAAAAACGGGAGGGGGGGGCAAGCCAGGAACTAATATGCAAACTTTGATTTTTGTCTCATAATTTGCAATGATTATATAAAATTAGCTCATACTTTCTAATGTTTTACAGCTGTTTTAAAAATAGTATAATAACTGTGAATTTAGAGGGTAGAGAAAAAAATATAACCCACACTTTTTCTAGGTTTGTTTATGTGGTTACAGTCAATGTGTATATAATTTCCACCTTCTCCACTTACTACTGTATCCAAACCATCATAATTTTAAACTGTGTTTTTCTAACATAGATTTGAAATGTATATATCAAGCACAATGTGTTTTTTAAAATATTTTTTAACAGCCCCAGATTTTCAAATTAGCATTTGTTTTTAAAATTTCTTCTATAGGCTACAGCTCCTTTTGCAGTCTGCTGTGGATGCTAACATGAATACTCTCCGGGTGTGGGGAGGAGGAATCTATGAGCAGGATGAATTCTATAGACTCTGTGATGAACTAGGAATAATGGTGGGTATTGACAGCACTTTATTGATTGATATGTTACTGTATCCTCACTTTGACCTCCTGTGTTCAAAGTGGGTGATATTGCTCGTTTCTTCTTTTCTCAGAGCTGAGAATGATATTCCATTTTTTTGCAGAGGAATAAATGGCATCTTGCAAAACCAGAACCATGGCTGATGGCGAATATCATAATTATGTAATTATTTTTACGTGGTAGACATTCTATGTATTTTTGTATTTGTAATTTTCTTTGTGATATGAGGGTATGATTAAATGCATTTAAAATGTTTGACTTTAAGGAGATCCAGCAAGACCTAGAGAGAAGAAAAATAATAAATGAGGAAAAAAGATATGTTTCATATTGTTATTAGGTATTCCAGACATGTTTTGCATTGTGAGGATTAAGCAAAGGAAATATATTCTTTTAGTTCTAGTATTACGGTTCTAAAACAGAAAGTACTCCATAGAGGAATAGTAATTATAAGAATACTGGTAATATGGATGGTCATGATAATATGACAGCATTCTGTCATATTTATTGAATGCCAAGCGTTGTTCTCAGTGCTCTGCATCTATTATTTTATTTCATTTTCATGTCCATCCTGTGAAGTAGTTACTGCTGTTCTCCATCCCCATTTAACCAATACGGAAACTGACATGTGGAGGAGAAGTTAAATAACTTGAAATCAAGGTTCTGACTCGGGTCAACTGGTTTGGGGTCTGTGTTCTTAACCATGGCCTCCTAACAACCTCCCTAGAAATGGAGTTTGTGGTTTCATTATGAAAATTTCTATGTAGTAATCCTTTTTGGCCATGAAAAGTTAATTCGTTTATAAACAAAGACTGTTTCCTAACGGTCTGGTCCCTCGCTCAATACTAAATTTCTAGTGGAAATTACAGAGTATCACAGTGTGGAGAGGCTGGGGGAAGGTTCTTTTCGAATTTCATATTCCTTTCAACACATTCACCGTTTCCTTATTTGAATTCCCCTTTCTTCTGTTTCTCGTCTCCCTACTGAACACTTTTTCCTCTCAGATCTCCCCCACAGTTTTGTGCCCTTCTGGAAAGTTGTGCCGTCTATGAAAACCTTTATTGGGCACTGCTTTAATCACAGTATTGCTCAAATGATCACCCTCATCAAGCTAACTTGATTTTTCATTTGCCTGAATGATAATTCCTGACATTCAAAATGAGGAATTTCTTTCAGTGTAATAAAATCTATGGATGTGCTTTATTGCCTTTTATTTGATTTGATAGGTATGGCAGGATTTTATGTTTGCCTGTGCCCTTTATCCGACTGATCAGGGCTTCCTGGATTCAGTGAGAGCAGAGGTTGCTCACCAGGTATGTTATTACCATTCCAAGAAGAAGGAAAATGCTTATGTTTCTTTTTCTTTCCTTCCTTCCTTCCTTCCTTCCTTCCTTCCTTCCTTCCTTCCTCTCCCTCTCTCCCTCCTTCCCTTCCTTCCTTTCATTTTTCTCTTTACTAACTCCCATGAAAATCAGTCCTATAATTGACTTCCCTGGTCTCATGGCTTTAACACGACCTATATGCTGATGATGTTTCAGATTTATCCTCAACTCTGACTTCTCTGCTTGAATTCCTGGTTCTTCTATCCAGCTGCCTACTTGGGACCTCTGCTTGTAGGTTTCAGAGTCCTCTCAAATGTTAACATTTCCAAACCAAACTTGCATGATCTTCTCCAAACCTGCTTTTCCTATAGTTTTCCTTACCTCAATAAATGGCACAGCCAGTCTTCTCAGCTCTCAGGTCAAAAAGATAAAGTGATTCTTGACTCCCTGATTTCCTCTGCATCCATATGTATACACCTATATTTATAGATCTTCAAGTGCAAGGAAGTGATTATAACCTAGCTCTGTCCACTGAAAAGGACTAGAAACAATGAACAACCTAATAATATTGAGTATCCTTCTATTGAAATAATTTTTCCCATTAAGAGAAGGGCTTCAGGGGAGGGCCCAACATGGCAGAGAAGTAGAGGGATTAGAACTTGCCTCATCTCTCAAACAAAGAAGTGTTGAAGCGAAAGGATTGTGACTTTGAACCCCAAAAGTCCAGGAGGAAAAGAGAAGGAATTCTTAGAGAAATGGGTGATCCCGGGCCTGAGACAGGAAATATACTAGATGATCCTGACATACAGATAACAAGGAAACTATCAAAGGTCTGTCAAAAAGAACTTTGACAAGACTATCACCAGCCAATAGTAGGATAGTTTGAGTTCAATAAGGATAAGACCGTCAATGGATTGAAATCCATCAAGTACGTTAAATTCTGTGATTTCATAATTATAATGTCTGTGGATGGAAATCCAAAAGAAATGCAAGGAAGCAATTACTGTAATACTCAAGATAGTGGTTACTGTTGGAAGAAGACACTGCAATTAAAAAGGGTGTATGAGGGAGGCACCTGGGTGGCTTGGTTCATTAAGTGCCTGACTTGATCTCAGCCAGGTCATGATCTCATGGTTCCTGGGTTCGAGTCTCACTTCAGGCTCTGCACTGATGCTGATGGCACAGAGTTTGCTTGGGGTTCTGTCTCTCCTTCTCTCTGCCCCTCCGCAACTTGTGCTCACTCACTTTCTCTCTCTCTTTCTCAAAATAAATAAGCTTAAAAAATAAATACAAGGGGTGCATGAAGGCTTCTGGGCTTCTCTTTATTGGTCTGGGTTGTGGATACAAGACCGATTACCTTATAATAATTTACTGTATCATAGTTGTTTTTTATGTCTGTTTTATTTATTTATTTTAGGAAAAGGTTTAAAAAGTACAAATGAATCATCCCTTGCTCCAAGGCCTCCAATAAAGAGCCTCACCATGCCCTATCCTGCCTCTGCCGGCCTCCCTGGCCCCGTTGAGCATCGTCTTCCTGTGCTATCTTTGCTCTGGAACACTTCCTCATCGCCCTCCCTGTGGGCCACCTCTCTCATTTTCTCCTGGCACCCTTGAGCATGACTTTCTCGGGGAAGAAAACCTTTCCGTATTTGCAAGTCTAGATCACATCATTTGCCCTTTGTGACATATATCAAAATTTGAATACTTGTTAGATGTTTTGTTTCATGCAACATTGTAGTCTCCCTGAGGCCCCAGGGGCTTGTTCCTCTGTGTATCCCCACCACCTGGCTGGGTTATTCATCAGGAAGATAGAGAGATGGACCAATGAACTTTAAAAATATAGTTATGTAGGTTGCAAATGTTTCAGTTTTATTTTTAATTTTTTTCATACAAATAAATAAAATATGATATCTATGTGCCTCCAGTTCTTTTACGTATTATTAAAGAGAAGGAGAACTTTTTTTTTGCAGTTTGTTAAAATTTTAAGGTAAAGCTCGCCGCAGAATTCTAGGTCAGCTAGAAGGATATGTATAGCACAGAGTCATTGCAGCTTTTTGCCTCTTCAGTATTTGTTTTCAGTAGCACCATAAACAATCAGTCATAGTTGGTCGCAGCCCTCACTTACCTGGACAAGCACAGAGGCAAATAAAGGAAATAGCGTGTGTAAGGCTGGTTTAGAGGAACACAAGACTGTAATTTTTAAGAATGAGAGAAGTCTCTTTAACGCATCCTTAATGCATCTCTGTTAGCATCTTGAATGGAGGCCACACAGAGAACATCAGCTGGGATCCATCACTGTAACCATGCGTTACATGGAAGAGAAGCTATAAATACCAATGAGGTTATATTGCTAAAATGTGTTGCAAAGGAATTTCTCTTGATCATTGACTCACTCTGCTGTCAAAGAGACTTCATTGCCTTCTTTTGCTGGAGTCCATCTTCTAGTGTGTCTGAGGAGCTGGATCCTTCCACCTTTATGTAGGGCTGGCCCACAGAGAAGCCCAGTTCATCCAGGTTCAATTCTTAGTTGGCAGGATTTTCAGGTAGATTCTTAATTTCTTCCTCTATGTTTAGATGTATTCAGTAACTTACTAACCTTAGTTGATTTCTCAGGACATGACATTGATAGTTATTTCTGGAGATATCCTCGTGATGCTCTAATCCTTTTTCGTTTCAATATTCCACGTATTTGTCTTCAACTTACAGGTTATCTCTGGGGTCTCACTTGCTTTGTAAAACCCTCTCTAGTTGTCTTTGTGGTTTTCTGAACTCAGTGGAGACTGTGACAACCTCAATCCCTCTTTCATTAGAAGTGGTTTTTCTACCTCAGTTTTTTCTTCACACAAAACTCCGACTTGTTCTTGAGAAACTCCTCTGTAATATAATCTCTCCTGCCTTTTGTATTCCTTAGAACCTTTTGGTGGCAAGTCAGATAATGATGAGGTTGGTTTATTTTTCTTTTTTAACAAAAGGTATTATATTTTCTTCAGTTTTTATACAGTAGAAAAGTGGAACCCAATCTTATTGGTGTTTATAAAATCTAGGTAAAAAGATTCGGAGAGTCCTTAAAAGGTGTCTCCACAGGTAATGTTACAAGCCATTTTCTAATAAATTTTCTGACACATATGAATTTATGTGCAGAAATGCAGTGGCTAGGAATAATTAGGAATCACTATAGCTCTGATTTTTTTTTTCTTGTCGATCATTTGAAAATTAATTTACATTTTTTGAAATTTTAGATCAGGAGACTGAAATCTCATCCTTCTATCATCGTATGGGGTGGAAATAATGAAAATGAAGCAGCGCTGATGACGAACTGGTTTAATATACATGCCAGTGAACTACGTACCTACATCAATGACTATGTGGTTCTGTATGTGAAAAATATCAGACAGATTGTCTTGGCAGTAAGTAGTGATTTTTCATGCAGTAGAATTTAAGAAACTCTTGAAAATGGATCTATTTGAATATTGGTATGGTATATTGTTGTGCCCTTTTTTAGGTCTACCTTCAACAATATCATTTTAACTTTTTAAAAATTTTTATTTATTTTTTTTGACAGAGAGAGAGACAGAGCACGAGCATGAGTGGGGGAGGGGCAGAAAGAGAAGGAGACAGAATCTGAAGCAGGCTCCAGGCTCTGAGCTGTCAGCACAGTCAGCACAGAGCCGATGTGTGGCTTGAACCCACAAACCGTGAGATCATGACCTGAGCCAAAGTCGGATGCTTAACTGACTGAGCCACCCAGGCGCCCCAACATCATTTTAATACAGAGCTGCATGTGAATGGATTATAATGCTGCAGCATGTGAATGGGTTCATGGGTTATGGACTTGTTTAGGAATTAACTTATCTATGGAACTCACCACACATACACCAATATTGTGTTTACACTTACAGATTATCATGGACTCTTTCTGGAGCCTGTCCATGGAACCCCAAAGGTTGAGAATTTCTACTTTAGATAACTTACTGATATGCCCCTTCTTTTTTCTTTCCTTCTTTTTGTTCCTCAGTATATTAATATAACAAATTCTGTGAATTAGTTGTCTAATAATAAACCTGTTCTAGTATAAACTCTATTTAGTTGTAATGTCTTATTCTTGTATTCTGTGCTAGATTTGACTTGCTAATATTTTAGTTAGACTTTAAAGATTTATATCCACAAGCAAATTTGGTCTGTAGTAAGAATTGTAAACTCAAATGCCTAGAGGAGCCAAATTTGTTTAAAAAAATTAAGTAGAGTAGATGAGGCTCACAGAGAGAAGAGGGGACTGTGGTAATAGGAAAATGGATGTTGGGTCTCATTTATATTCAGCATTTTTTCTTAAAGCTTATTTATTTATTTTGAGAGAGAGACAGAGACAGCTCAAGTGGGGAAGGGACAGAGAGAGAGAGGGAGAGAGAGAATCCCAAGCAGCCTCTGTGCTGCCAGCACACAGCTTGATGCAGGAATCAAACCCACAAAGCTGTGAGATCATGACCTGAGCTGAAACCAAGAGCTTAACCAACTGAGCCACTGAGGTGCCCCAGCATTTTTTTCTTTTTTTTTTTTATAGAGAGAACACAAGTGGGGGGAAGGGGCAGAGGGAGAAAGAGAGAGCATTCCAAGCAGGCTCCAAATTCAGTGCAGAGCCGGACATGGGGCTTGATCCCACAACCTGGGATCATGACCTGAACTGGAATCAAGAGCCTGATGCTCAACTGATTGAGCCACCCAGGTGCCCTTCTTATCTTTTTGATGATATCCATCCTAACAGGTTCGTGAGGTGATCCCTCATTATGGTTTTGATTTGCATTTCCCGGATGATTAGTTGAGTACCTTTTCATATACTTATTGACTATCTGTATGTTTTGGGGAAAATGTCTGTTTAGATCCTTGACTCGTTTGTTTGTTTTTTGCTATTGAATTGTATAAGTGTTTTATATATTTTGGATATTAACCTTTTAGCAGTTATATGATGTGCAAATATTTCCTCCCATTCCGTATTTTCCTTTCTCATTTTATTGATGGTTTCCTTTGCTGTGCAGAGCCTTTTTGGTTTGATGTGGTCCCGCTTGTTGACTTTTGTTGTCCTTGTTTTGGTGTCAAATCCGAAGAATCAGAGCTACCACCAGTGTCAAGGAGCTTACCACCTGTGTTTTCTTCTAGGAGTTTTATGATTTCAGATCTTACATTCAAATCTTTAATCCATTTGGTATTAATTTTTGGGCATGATTGAAGAGAGTTGTTCAGTTTCAGTCTCTTGTCTGGGACTGTCCAGTTTTTCTAACACCATTTATTGAAGAGACTGTCCTTTCCCCATTGTATATTCTTGTCTCCTTTGTCATAACTTAATTGGCCATGCGTATATGAATTTAATTTCTGGGTTCTCTGTTCTGTTCTACTGACCTCTGTGTCTGTATTTATTCCAGTACCGTAATGTTTTAATTTTATTTATAATGTATTTTGAAGTCAGAAAGCATGTTTCCAGCTTTGTTCTTCTTTCTCAAGATTGTTTGACTATTTAACATCTTTTGTGGTTCCCTAAAAATTTTTGAATTATTCATTCTATTTCATTACAGTGTTGATAGGGATTGCCTTGAATCTGTAGATTGTTTTAAATAATATGGACATGTTAGCAATATCAGTTCTTCCAGTCCATGAGCACAGAATATCTTTCCATTTATCTGTGTCTTCTTCAGTGTCTTATAATTTTCAGTAATAATTTCAGTCTTTCACTTCCTTGGTTAAACTTATTCCTAGATATTTTATTCTTTTTGATGCAGTCATGAATAAGATGGTTTTCTTAATTTCTAGGAGTTAATTATTAGTGCGCAGAAATGCAGTAGATTTCTGTGTATAGATTTTATGACCTGCAGTTTTACTGAATTTATTTATTCTGACAGTTTCTTGTGAAGTCTTTAGAATTTTCCACATACAATATTATGTCATCTGAAAATAGTGACAGCTTTACTCTTTCCTTTGCAATTAAGATACCTTTTATTTCTTTCTCTTGTCTAATTGCTCTAAGTAGCACTTCCATTCTTGTGTTGAATAAAAGTGGTGAGAGTAGGCATCCTGGTCTTGTTCCTGATCTTAGAGAAAAGTTTTGAGTTTTTCACCATTGGGTATGATGTTAGCTATGGGCTTGTCATATATGGCCTTTATTATGTTCCCTCTGTGGTTACTTTGTTGAGAGTTTTTATAATAAATGGATGCTGAATTTTGTCAAATGCTCTTTCTACATTTGTTGACATGATAATATGATTTTTTTAAGTAGGCTCCACAGCCATTGTGGAGACCAAGGTAGGGCTTGAACTCATGACCCTGAGATCAAGACCTGAGCTGAGGTCAAGAGTCAGATGCTTAACCAACCAAGCCACCTAGGCACCCTGTTCATGATTTTTATCCTTCATTTTATTAAGGATACAAGATGTGATGTATCATCTTGATTGATTTGTAGATGTTGAACCATCCTAGCATCCCTAGAATAAATTCCTCTTGATCATGATGTATGATTTCTTTTTTTGACTTACATGACTTTGCTTTGTTAATCTGTTGTTGAGAAGTTTTGCATCTATGTTCATCAAGGATACTGGCCTGTAATTTTCTTGGGGTGATTCTATTTGGTTTTGGTATTAGGATAATGCTTGTCTTTTAAAATGAGTTTGGAAGTTTTCCCTCCTCTTCTGTTTTTTGGAAGAGTTTGAGAAAGATTGGTATTAATTCTGCTTTGAATGTTTGGGACTTTTGTTTGGTGGGAGATTTTTGATTATTGATTGAATGTCCTTACTAGTTAATTGGCCTGTTCATGTTTTCTATTCTTCATGATTCTATCTTGGAAGATTGTATGTTTTTAGGAATTTATCCATTTCTTCTAGGTTGTCCAATTTGTTGGTGTATAGTTGTTCACAGTAATCTCTTACGATCCTTTGTATTTCTGAGGTATCAGTTTTAACATCTTTTTCATTTCTGATTTTGTGTGAGTCCTTTCTCTTTTTCTTCTTGGCAAGTCTAGCTAAAGTTTTGCCATTTTGTTTATCTTATTTATTTATTTATTTAAATGTTTTTGGGGTTTTTTTTGAGAGAGAGAGACAGAGAAAGAGAAAGAGAGAGAAACACAGTGTGTGAGTGGGGGAGGGGCAGAGAGAGGGGGGAGGGGCAGAGAGAGAGAGGGAGACACAGAATCTGAGCAGGCTCCAGGCTCTGAGCTGTCAACAAAGAGGCCAATGCAGGACTCGAACTTGTGAACTGCAAGATTATGACCTGGGCCAAAGTCGGAAGCTCAACTGACTGAGCCACCCAGGCGCCTCTTGTTTATCTTTTTATAAAGAATAAGTTCTTGGTTTCATTGATCTTTTCTATTGTTTTTTAGTCTCTATTTCATTTATTTCTTCTTTGATCTTTGTTATATCCTTTCTTCTAATATTGGGCGAAATTTGTTCTTTTCTAGTTTATTAAGGTGTAAAGTTAGGTTCTTATTTGAATTTTTTGGGTTGTTTCTTGAAATGGTCATTTATCTCTATGATCTTTCCTCTTAAACTGCTTTTCCTGCATCACATACGTTTTGGTATATTGTGTTTACATTTTCATTTGTCTCAAGGTATATTTTAATTTCTCTTTTGGTGTCGTCGTTGATTCATTGATTTTTCAGTAGCATATTCCTTAATCTTCACGTGTTTGTCAATTTTCCAGCTTTCTTCTTATAATTCACTTCTAGTTTCATACCCTTGGGATCCAAAACTCTGCTTGATATGAGTTCAGTCTTTTCAAATTTGTTAAGACTTGTTTTGTGGCCTGATATATGATCTGTCTTGGAGAACATTCCATGTGCACCTTAGGAGAATGTGTATTCTGTTGCTTTTCAATAGTATGTACTGTGTATTGTTAAGTCTATCTCGCCTCATGTCTCATTTAACATTCTATAATTATAAATGCTAAAACAACTTGATAATATGTCATATACGAATATGTTCATATATGAAATAAGGGATAAGGGAAAAGGGAAAGAGATTGTTCCCAACTCCACCATAGAGCCTTTCCTTATGGTGGTTCTTTTTACATTTCTACTTTTTAATAGGCGTGTTATACTTGTATATACTACATGCATAAACATTATATATAATGATATAAATTAGCTTTTCTTGCAGGAAGGAGAAGTAGCATTTTGTTGTTCAGTAATGCCTTCAAAAGATGTAACTTTAAAAAGCTTTAATGTTTAATATGTGATTTAATAATCTGATTGTCTTTATAATTTTTTAAATCTGTAATTGGATATTTTAAATATTTGGGTACCTCCTGAACCCATACAAAAAGAGACATATTTAAAAGAATAGTATGGGGACACCTGGGTGGCTCAGTCGGTTAAGCGTCTGACTCCAGCTCAGGTCATGATCTCACGGTTTGTGGGTTTGAGCCTCGCATCGGGCTTTGTGCCGACAGCTAGCTCAGAGCCTGGAGCCTGTTTCAGATTCTGTGTCTCCCTCTCTCTCTGACCCTCCTCTGCTCATGCTGTCTCTCTCTCTCCCAGAAATAAATAAAACATTAAAAAAAAGAATAGTATTGTAGAGGCGCTTGGGTGGCTTAGTTGGTTAAGCGTCCAACTTTGGCTCAGGTCATGGTCTCACAGTTCGTGGGTTCAAGCCTCATGTCGGGCTCTGTGCTGACAGCTCAGAGCCTGGAGTCTCCTTTAGATTCTGGATCTCCCTCTCTCTCTGCCCCTACCCCGCTCATGCTCTGTCTCTCTGTCTCTCAAAAATAGATAAACATTAAAATTTTTTTTTTAAAGAATAGTATGTGCTTTTGGCATCCAAATAAGTTCAGTTCATGGCACTCTTCATTTATGTGAAGCAACTTCAGTGAGAATTCATGAAAAACTTAGGTTCACGTTTTTAGCTTATCTGATATGCTAAGTCATGTGTCATGAAGAATTTTTCTATCTACAAATAGTGATGGTATAAGCTTTAATTAATATTTATAGAACATTTATTTTATAATCTTTTTTCTCATAGTGTTGGTATTACATGTTTCATATCTGATGGATTTAAGAAATGGATTTTAATATTTGAGGATTTTCATTTCACAGCTCAGTGGTTAAGAGCTCATAATTCCAAGAGGATGAGAATGAGGCACGTGGCCCCACAGTGATGCAAATTGGTTAGGAAAACAGTTCCTAGGAACAGCTCTGTATTATGGAAATGGAAACATGAATTCTGGTGGACATTTAGCAATGGCATCCACACGGGGGTTATTTACCATACAATGTAGCCCTATGAAAGAGTAGTTATTATCCCCATTTTGCAGATAAGACTATTGAGGCTTAGACCTGTTCAAAAAAAATAAGGTTCTGATATGATATTTAAACTCAGTCCATCTGACTCAATAGCCTCTATTATTTTCTTTTTTTTTTTTTTCTCCTGCCGTGCCTTTTATTCCCATGACCTGTTCATTTCATAACTGGAAGCTGTATCTCCCTCTCCCCTTCACCCATTTTGCCCAACTGCTGACCGGCCCCCTCTGGCAACCATCAGTTTGTTCTGTGTATTTTAGGTCTGATTCAGCTTTCTGTTTATTCATTTGTTTAGATTCCACTATGAGTAAAATCATGTATTAGTTGATTAGGTCTGATTCAGCTTTTTGTTTATTCATTTGTTTAGATTCCACTATGAGTAAAATCATGTATTAGTTGTGTTTCTCATTCTGACTTATTTTATTTACCATATTATCCTCTAGGTGCATCTCAAATGACACAATCTCATCTTTTTTTGGCTCTGAAGTATTCTATTATATATATATACATATATATATATATACCACATCTTCATTATCCATTTGTCCATTGATGGACGCTTAGATTGCTTCAATATACTGGTTATTGTAAATAATGCTGCAGTAAACACAGAAGCACATCTTTTTTTGGCTCTGAAGTATTCTATTATATATATATACATATATATACATACCACATCTTCATTATCCATTTGTCCACTGATGGACACTTAGATTGCTTCAATATATTGGTTGTTGTAAATAATGCTGCAGTAAACACAGAAGCACACATACCTTTTCAAATTAGTGTGTTCATTTTCTTTGGATAAATACCCAGTAGTAGAATTATTGGATTTATGGTATATCTATACTTAGTTTTTCAAAGCACTTCCATACTGTTTTCCACTGTGGCTGCATCAATTTACATTCCTCCCAGCAGTGTGCAAGGGTTACCTTTTTTCCCATATCCTGGTCAACACTTGTTTCTTGTCTTTTTGATTTTATCCATCAAAGGTGTAAAATGGTATTTCATTTTAGCTTTGAGTTGCATTTCCATTATGTTGAGAACCTTTTCATGTGTTCGATGGCAATCTGTATGTCTTTTTTGGAAAAATGTCCATTCAAGTCCTCTGCCCATTTTTTAATTGAATTATTTGGTTTTTGGTGTTGAGTTGTATATGTTCTTTATATATTTTGGATATACATTTATATATATCCCTTTATCAGATATATCATTTCTAGATGTCTTCTCCCACTCAGTAAGTTGTCTTTTTATTTTGTTGATGGCTTCCTTTGCTATGCAAAAGCTTTTTATTTTAATGTCCTCTAAATAGTTTAATTTTGGTTTTGTTCTTGCCTGAGGGGACATATCTAGAAAAACGTTGCTGTGGCCCATGTCAGAAAAATTACTGCCTGTGTTTTTTATGATTTTTTGGATTTTTATGATTTCAAGTCTCACATTTAGCTTTTTAATTCATTTTGAGCCTATTTGTGTTTATGGTGTTAAAAGGTTTCATCTTTTGGCAGATAGCTGTCCAGTTTTCCCAGCACCATGTATTAAGGAGACTGTGTTTTTCCCATTGCATTTTCTTGCCTGTTTTGTCATATTAATTGACCATGTAGTTGTGGGTTTATTCCTGGGATCTCTGTTCTGTTCCACTGATCTATGGATCTCTTTTTATGCAGTACCATACTATTTTGATTATTTCAGCTTTGTAGTATATTTTGGTTTTTTTTCATTGAAATCTGGAATTTTGATAACCTCCAAACTTTGATTTTCTTTCTTTTTTTTTTTTTTCAAGATGTCTTTGGCTGTTTGGGATCTTCTGTGGTTCCTTACAAATGTTAGTATTATTGTTCTAGTTTTGTAAAAAATGCTATTGGTATTTTGATAGGGATTGCATTGAATCTGTGGATTGGTTTGTGTAATGTGGACTATTTAAACAATACTGATTTTCCCATTCCATGAGCATGTGGAGTGTGTGTGGGTCATCTCCATTTTCTTTCACCAGAGTTTCATAGTTTTAAGAGAAGAGATTGTTCACCTCTTTGGTTAAGTTTATACCTAGGTATTTTGTTCTTTTTGGTGTAATTGTAAATGGTATTGTTTTTAAATTTCTTTTTCTGCTACTTTGTATTAGTGTATAGAAGCATTATTGATTTCTGGGTATTAATTTTGTATCCTGCAACTTAGCCTCTTATTCTTAAGTACTACACCTGTGTTTCTTAAGTGGAGGCAATTTTGTCCTCAAGGGAGAGGAGGAATGTTTGGCCAATGTCTGTAGACATTTTTTGGTGTCTATAGGGGTACCACTGGCATCTAGCGGGTAGAGGCCAGGGATGCTGCTAAACATTCCCTCTCCCCCTGCCCCCTTTCCCTGGTCTCCAGTACACAAAATTCAGTAATTTTCCCTGGTCTCCAACACACAATGTCAGTATTGCCAAGGTTGAGAAATACTGCACTAGACTGAGTACTACCCATTTTGGTAGAACGTAATGTAAAGGCACAACATGATGGAAAAAGATTAGGAGGAGGTGCTGAGGAATAAGCTAGGTTTTAATAATGACAAGATATAAAGGATTGGCGAATATCAGAAAAGTGCTGGTGGTTGTTGAATGCATAGGCAAATGATTCTATTTTTTTTCTATCAGCCACTTGGCATTTCTAAGACTTGATAGTATTTTTTTAAAAAGTAAATGGTCTGCCACAAATAGACATTTCTCCAGAGAAGTCATACAGATGGCCAGACATGGGAAAAGATGCTGAACATCTCTCATCATCAGGGGTATGCAAATAAAACCTTCAAGGAGGCATCATCTCCTACTTGTCAGAATGGCTGAAATCAAAAAACAAGTGTTGGTGAGGATGTGGAGAAAAGGGAACCCTTGCACATTGTTAGTGGAAATGCAAACTGGTGCGGTCACTGTGGAAGACAGTAGGGAGGTTCGTCAAAAAGTTAAAAATAGAACTACCCAGGGGTGCCTGGATGGCTCAGTCGGTTAAGCATCTGACTTCAGCTCAGGTCATGATCTCAGAGTTGGTGAGTTCGAGCCCCGCGTTGGCCTCTATGCTGACAGTGCAGAGCCTGGAGCCTGCCTCAGATTCTGTGTCTCCCTCTCTCTTTGCCCCTTCCCTGCTCATACTCTGTTTCTTTCTGTCTCAATAATAAAACATTAAAAAAAAATAGAACTACCCTAATCACACTACTGGGTGTTTGTTCCCAAATTACAAAAACACTAATTCAAAGGGATACATGCATCCCTATGTTTATTGCAGTATTATTTGCAATAGCCAAAATTATGGAAGTAGCCCAGGTGTCCAGCAGCAATAGATGAGTGGGTAAAGAAGATGTGGGGTGTGTGTGTCTGTGTTTGTATACATAATATTCCATTAATAATGGAATATTACTCAGCTATAAGAAAGAATGCAATCTTGCTATTTGCAACAACATGGTTGGATCTAGAGAGTATAATGCTAAGTGAAATGAACCAGTTAGAGAAAGACAGATACCATATGATTTCACATTGATGTGGAATTTACAAAACAATACAAAACAAATTAGCAAAGGAAAAGAGAGAGAGACAAACCAAGAAGCAGACACTTAACTATAGAGATCAAACTGATGGTTACGGGGGGGGGGGGGGGGGCAGGGGGGGACATGAATGAAATAGGCGATGGGATTAAGGAGGGCACTTGTCATGATGAGCACTGGGTGATGTACAGAAGTGTTGAGTCACCATATTGTATACCTGAAACTAATTTTATGCTGAATGTTAACTAAATGTAACAGAATTAAAATTAAAACTTAATTTAAAAAAGTAAATGGTTTGTGTTTTACTGGGTGAAAATATCTTTTAAACCCTTTTATTTCTGAACTCAGAGAGACAAGACTCGTCCTTTTATCATATCCAGTCCTACAAATGGGGCCGAATCTATTGAAGAAGGCTGGCTGTCTGCGAACCCTTATGACGAGAATTTTGGTGATGTACATTTTTATGACTATATCAATGATTGCTGGAATTGGAAAAATTTCCCCAAAGCTCGATTTGTATCTGAATATGGATATCAGTCCTGGCCTTCCTTCAGTACATTAGAAAAGGTAAGCCACTTTTGATTTCCCCATGATTCAGATGGTAGGCTGTGGACCTGTGTCCCTTTCTTTTTTTTTCTTTTTTTTTTTTTAAGCTGCTTTTGTCTTTTCTTTAGTGTGTCCCTTTCTCAACAGTGGTTCACAAAGTGAGATGAAATCTACTTCTTATTTAAAAGAAAGTTTAGGAAGATCATAGAACTTTTTTTCTTTAAACTTTGGGGAGCTAAATTTCTTGGTAGTCATCATTTTGGGGATTAATACTTTTCTATATTGCTTTTAATTATGTTCCTTCACTAACATTTAAAAATGAAATGGGAACCAGTGGTTGCTTAAGCCTGACTTCTTATCATGCATGAAAGTAACTCTCACTTGCTATTTTCCCTATATCCTACCACTGTTAAGCTTATTTATTTATTTTGAGAGAGAGAGAGAAAGAGAGAGTGAGCACACACGTGCCTGTGAGGGGAAGGGGCAGAGAGAGGGAATGAGAGAATCCCAAGCAGGGGGATTTTCATGTGGGGCTTGATCTCATGAACCATGAGATCATGACCTTACGCGAAATCAAGAGTCAGACGCTTAACCCACTGAGCCACCCAGGCCCCCCTATCCTACACCTGTTCTATCATTTTCAGCTATTCAGACCTGGATGGTTTGCTACAGTAAGAGGAATGAATGTGATAAATGAACTTTTGCTTAATGTTATAAGGTCATATTATTTTTCTTTTGTCTCCTCTTCTACCTCTTCTATTTCCCCCTCCACTTCGTCTTCTTTTTGTTTTGCACTATGTATGGCGTTTCACTTTCCTTATTCCTACAGATTCAGTTTCACAAATGGATTCAATTTCAGAGTTGTATGTGTTCTTTTTTAAACAACGTTATTGAGATATAATTCACTGACCATACAATGCACCCATTAAAATATATACTTTAATGGTTTTCAGTATATTCACGGAGTTGTGCAGGCAGCACCACAACCTCGTTTTAGAGCATTATCATCACTCCAGAGAAACTCTGTTCCCATTAGCAGTCACTCCCCACTCTCTCAGTCCCTCCAAGTCCACTCTAGGCACTGCTAGTCTGCTTTGTTTGTCTATATACTTGCCTGTTTTTCACACTTCATATATTGGAATGGTAAAATATGTGATCTTTGTAGGCTGGCTTCTTTCACTCATCATAACATTTTCCACATTCATCCATGTTGTAGCATGTATTAGTTTTCATTCTTTTTTATTGCTGAATAATATTCCATTGTATGGATATGCCACATGTTGTTTGTCCATTCATCAGTTGATGTACATTTGTGTTATTCCCACTTTTTTGACTATTATGAATAATGCTGCTGTGAACATTTGTATACATTTTTTTGTGAACATACGTTTTCAGTTCTATTAAATATATACCTAGGAGTGGAATGCTGAGTCGTATGGTAACTGTTTAACATTCTGAGGAATTGCCAAACTGTTTACTATAGTTTGCAGTGGCTGAACCATTTTACATTCCTGCCAGAAAATGTATGAGGGTTCCAATTTCTCTACATCTTTGCCAACACTTATTCCCCTCCCCCCCCCTTTTTTTTAACTTTTCCCTGGAAATTTGCATTTACAGGAAATTTGCATTTCCTTGAGGCTAATGATGTTGAGCCTCTTTTCATGCGCTTATTGGCCATTTGTATATTTTCCTTAAAGAAATGTCTATTCAAATCCTTTGTTTCTTTTTTTTTCTGTAAGTCTGCATTTATTTATTTTTCCACTGTATTTTATTTTTAATTTTTTTAATAGTTTATTGTCAAGGTGGTTTCCATATAACACCCAGTGCTCATCACCACAAGTGCCCTCCTCCATGCCCATCACTTCCCTTCCCCTCCCCCCCACCCCCATCAGCTCTCAGTTTGTTCTCAGTATTCAACAGTCTCTCATGATTTGCCTCCCTCCCTCTCCCCCACTATTTTTCCCCTTCTTCTCCCCCATGGTCCTCCATTAAGTTCCTCCTAATCCTCATATACATGGTATCTGTCCTTCTCTGACTGACTTACTTCGCTCAGCATAACACCCTCTAGTTCCATCCATGTTGCTACACATGGCCAGATTTCATTCTTTCTCATTGCCATGTAGTATTCCATTGTATAGATAAACCACATCTTCTTGATCCATTTGTCAGTTGATGGATGCCTAGGTTCTTTCCATGTTTTGGCTATTGTTGAGAGTGCTGCTATGAACATTGGGGTACATGTGCCCCTATGCATCAGTACTCCTGTATCCCTTGGGTAAATTCCTAGCAGTGCTACTGCTGGGTCATAGGAGAGTTCTATTTTTAATTTTTTGAGGAACCTCCACACTGTTTTCCAGAGAGGCTGCACCAGTTTACATTCCCACCAACAGTGTAGGAGGGTGCTCGTTTCTCCACATCCTCACCAACATCTAGGGTCCTCTGATTTGCTCATTTTAGCCACTCTGACCAGCATGAGGTGGTATCTCAGTGTGGTTTTGATTTTTATTTCCCTGATGAGGAGGGATGCTGAGCATTATTTCATGTGTCTGTTGGCCATCTGGATGTCCTCTTTGGAGAAGTGTCTGTTCATGTCTTCTGCCCATTTCTTTACTGGATTGTTTATTTTTCGGGTATGGAGTTTGGTGAGATCCTTATAGATTTTGGATAATAACCCTTTATCTGATATGTCATTTGCAACTATCTTTTCCCATTCCATCCGTTGCCTATTAGTTTTTTGGATTGTTTCCTTTGCTTGTTTTTTAATTGGGTTATTTGTCTTTTTGTTATTGAATTGTGTTATATATATATTTTGTGTATTTTTTATTAGATATATGATTTGCAAATATCTTCTCTTAATTTGTAGGTTTTATTTTTACTTACTTGACGGTGTCATTTAAGACGCAAAAGTTTTAAATTTTGAAGTTATCAAAAATACTTGTCAATCTTCCCTTTTATCTCTTGTGCTTTTGGTATTGTGTCTAAGAACCATTTTCTTTCTTTCTTTTTTTTTTTTTTAAACATTTTTAAATGTTTATATTTGAGAGAGAGACAGACAGAATGCAAGCCAGGGAGGGGGCAAAGAGAGAGACAGACACAGAATCTGAAGTAGTTCCAGTCTCCGAGCTGTCAGCACACAGCCCAGTGCAGAGCTTGAACCTATGAACTGTGAGATCATGACCTGAACTGAAGTTGAATGCTTAACCAACTGAGCCACCCAGGTGCCCCTAAGAAACCATTTTCTAATCTAAGATCACAAAATTCTACTCCTGTGTTGTCTTCTAGTTTTAGCTCTTACATTTAGATCTGTGATCTATTTTGAGTTAATTCTTCTATATGGTATGAGATAGATGTCCAGATTCATTTTTTTCTGCATCATATATCCAGTTATCCAAACATCATTTATTGGAAGCATTATTCTTTCCCCCATTGATTGTTTTGACCCCTTTGTCAAAATCAATTAACCATAAATGTTAAGGTTTATTTCTGGATTCTCAATTTGCTTCTAATTGATCTGTCTCTTTTATGCCAGTATGCACTGTCATTATTACTGTCACTTTGTAGTAAGTTTCGAAAGCAGGAAGTGTGAGTCCACCAATTTTGTTCTTCTTTTCAAGATTGTTTTGGCTGTTCTGGGTGCCTTCCATTTACATATCAATTTAGGATCACCTTCCCAGTTTCTGCAAAAATAAGTCAGCTGGGATTTTGATAGGGTTTGTGGTGAGTCAGTAGATTAGTTTGCAATGTATTGCCATCTTAACAATATGAAGGCTTCTGATCCATGAAGATGTAATGTCTTCTTTCATTATTTTGTAGTTTCAGTGTACAAAGTGTATACTTCTTTAGTTAACTTTATTCTAAGTATTTTATTCTTTTTGTAAATGGAAATATTTTCTTAATTTATTTTCATATGGTTCAATACTAGTATATAAAGAGACAATTGATTTTTTATATTGAACTTATATTCTACAACCTTGCAGAACTTATTTATTAGCTTTAGTTTTTGTGAATCCTTTAGAGTTTTCTATATATAAAAGCATCTGCAGATAGAATTAGTTCCACTTCCTCCATTGCAGTTTGGATGTTTTTTTATTAACTTTTCTTGACTAATTGCCCTGGCTAGAACCTCCAATACAATGTGGAATAGAAATGGTGAGGACATCTTTGTTTCATTGCTTTTCTTAGGAAGAAAGCTTTCAGTATTTTACTGTTCAGTAAGATGTTAACTGTAAGTTTTTCGTATATGTCTTTTTTTCAGGTTGAGGGAGTTCCTTTTTATTCCTAGTTGGTTGAGTGCTTGTATCATAAAAGGGTGTTTGTTGGTGGGGCACCTGGGTGTCTCAGTTGGTTCAACTTCCAACTTCGGCTTAGGTAATGGTCTTACAGTTTGTGGGTTTGAGCCCCACGTCAGGCTCTGTGCTGATATCTCAGAGTCTGGAGTCTGCTTCAGATTCTGTGTCTCCTTCTCTCTCTTTGCCCCTCTCCCACTCATGCTCTGTCTTTGTCTCTCAAAAATAAATAAATGTTTAAAAAATTGTTTTAAAGGTGTTGGATTTTGTCAAGTGTTTTTTCTTCATCTATTGCAATAATCATGTACCTGTAGTTTTTGTTTCCCTTCCCCATCACTTGTGTAACGTAACCACAAAAAAATTTTAAGACAATTTCAAAATCTTCCTCAGTTTTACCACCTAAACGCAACTATATTTGCTTCACACAGTGAAGCTATGTTGTGTTTTTAACTGTAATAAATAATGTTATCACCTTAGATCTACCTTCTGGTTTTTTTGTTTTTTTTATTACTCCTGTATTATAGGGTAGACTTTTGAGGAATAGTATTGTTTCAAAACGAAGGAGGATGGAGTTGAGTATTCTAAGTTAGGTAGGAACAAGTGTTAGAATGGGAAGGAAGGAATGAAAGAAACAAAATATTTACTGAACAGATGCTGTGTACCAGAGACTCATTGTTTCATTTAACAATAATGAAACAAAGGTACTAGAGAGTGAGAGTTCCATCATTAACCCCAGACAGCAAGTAGCATATCTGGATTCAGACTTATTATCTAACGCCAGAGCTGATCCATTTTCCTTTCACTATATTTCAGGAAAGTGAGTGTTATGAATTGCTAAACCTTTTTCTTAAATCTGTTAGCATTTCTATTCACCTCCTGACAATAATGCAATTGCTGTGTTTTTATGAAATGCCCCATGTTCAAAGATACGAAACACTATGTCTTAAAATAGGGAAAGTTGAAGCCAAGTTCTATAAGTTCTATAAGTTCTGTTCATTATGAATCCTTGATTTAGTTATTACCTCTTTCTGAGCTACATTGTGTTGTTGAGAATTCGAATTAGTTAATTGGGAAAATAAAAGAAACCAAAAGAATAACTTTACATAAAGCTTAGGTTCTTTTATCTAGAGTTTTTTCATGTATTTAACAAAAATTAAAATGTCCCTTTCTCGTTTGGGATGCATTACTTTTTTGTAAAATAATCATATTTTTAACAGGCCATTATCAATATTGCACAGTGATTAAAAGCCTGGGCTATGGAATAAACAGACCTGGATTTGAATACTAGAACTGCCACTCACAAGCTATATTGCCTTGGACAAATTATTTGATCATTTTGAATTTTAGTGTATTCATCTGTAAACTGGGTTTAATAGTAGTAAAATACTTTTTTTTTTAATGTTTTATTTATTTCTAGGAGAGAGAGAGAGAGACAGCGTGAGCAGGGGAGGGTCAGAGAGAGAGGGAGTCACAAACAGGCTCCAGGCTCTGAGCTGAGTGTCAGCACAGAGCCTGACACGGGGCTCGAACCCACAAACCGTGAGATCATGACCTAAGTGAAAGTCGGACGCTTAACCAACTAAGCCACCCAGGCGCCCCAATAGTAAAATACTTCTTAGGGGAGGGTGGAGGCAAGAGAGAGAGAGAGAGAAAGAATGTGTGTGTATGTGTTTGTGTCTACGTGCAGGTACTCATGTGTGCATGTTATCACATGTAAATATTAAGTTAACTTATACATCAAAGCGCTTAGCCACAGTTCTTGACACATAGCAACAGGCCATAAAGTGTAAGCTATTGTTGGTATTGATATAATCCATTCTAGCCATAGGATTTGTATGAAAATTTATTTTCTTCAGAGCCATCCAGGTTTAAAGAACTAAAGGCTGGACCTAGCCTGTGCCAAGTAGCTTAGGAACTTGGACAAATCACTGAACTTTTCTGAACCTCATCTCTAAAACAGAACAATAATAATACTGACTCATAGGTTGTTATGAGGATTAAATGAGTTAATATTCTTTTTTTTTTTAAGTTTATTTATTTTGAGACAGAGAGAAAGAGAGAGCAGGGGAGGGTCAGAGAGAGAGAGAGACAGAATCCCAAGCAGGCTCTGCACTGTTAGCAAGGAGCCTGATGCAGGGCTCAAACTTACGAAGTGTGAGGTTATGACCTGAGTCTAGATCAAAAGTCAGACGCTTAACCAACTGAACCACCCAGCTGCCCCTAAATGAATTAATATTAATATTAATTAATATTCTTAAAGCAATTAGAGCCTTACCTGGCACTTTTTTTTTTCTTTTGGTAGCTTCTCTAAGATATGAAGGAAAGATTGTACAAATTGTGCCTAGATGTTAAAAAAAAATAGATGTATTATTAGGGGAAAAGAATATTCTTGTTTGGTTTGTGTCTTCGACTCTATCAAAATTAAACATGTATATATCAAATATATTTAGTAGTCATTGAGAAACAGACAAGCAAATGATAAAGCATTTGCCATCACAATAGTGATATTTTATTCCTGTTAAAGAACTGACAGTTGTAACAGAATGCTGACTTCAGTCATTATTCAATTTTGATAATTTATTTACTTGAATAAATAAATTGACATTTAAAAATGAGGATAAATACATGTTTTAAAAAACAGGAATGTTTTGAGATGAGAAGACTTTTGACAGAAATGCCAAAATGTAATTTTCTAAAGGTTTGAGTAAGGGGAATAGATAGGTGCCAAGTCCTGGTTTTGTGATTCCGTTGTGCACAGGGCTAGTCTTTCACCAATAACAAGGATGATGGCAAAAACATCTCACATCAGTAAAATGAGAGCTGCAGAACAAACCTCGAGCTCTTTTCCAGTACATAGAGTACTTTTCAAGTTGTCAGAAATGTAGTTTCACTCCTAACTTCCCAATTTGTACCTCTTATTCTCTACTTGAAAGGTCTCAGCTAAAAAGGACTGGTCTTACAACAGCGAATTCTCACTCCATCGACAGCACCATGCGGGTGGTAATAATGAAATGCTGCTTCAGATTGGATTTCATTTCAAACTCCCAGAAGGCACAGATCCATTACAGACATTCAAAGATACCATTTACCTTACTCAGGTAAGGCATTTTCATCCTGGACTTCAACAGGTTCCTGCAACTCACATAAGGGATCATGTGGATTTTGTAAACCTTATGTGGTCAAAGAAAAATTCCAGTTTTTATTTCACCAATTGAGGAGTTTATCTTCTTCAAAGTAGATATGTGATGACGTGGAATGCTTGAAATAGTTAATTTTTGGCATTTGCCTCTCTTACAAAGAACAGCTCACAAAGTTTTACAACAAACTTATGCATTAAAATGTTCCCTAGCTCAAGGTTACTAGAAAGTTTTAGTAATTAAGAGAATAACATTTCCCAAGGACAAAATGGAACAATAGAACACAAGAGAGTCCAGAAACAGACTTATGTGTGATATAGTCACTTAATTGATGGCAGTGATGCCACTGCAATCCTATGGGAAAGGATAGTTTTATCAACAAACAGTGCTGTATTGAGTGGGTATCTTTATAGGAAAATAAAGGAACTTTGACGCTATATACAAAAATTAATTTGATCACTCAACTGTGAAAGGTATATAATAACACCTCTAGGAAAAACCATATTTTCATGACCTTGGCAAAGATTTCTTAAACAGGACATTAAAAAACACTAACTGCAAGTGGTCCCTAGGTGGCTTAGTTGGTTGAGCCTCCGACTCTTGATTTCAGCTCAGGTCATGATCCCGGGGTCATGGGATTGAGCCTCCATTCTTAGCATGGGACCTGCTTAATATTCTTTCTCTCTCTCTCTCTCTTTCTCTCTCTCTCTCCCCCTCTCTCCCTGTGCCCTTCTCCTCCATTCTCTCTGTCTAAAAAAACAAAACAAATAAAAAACCACTATGAAAGAAAAGAATGATAAACTGGACTTCATTAAAATTGTAGACTCTTGTAAATCAAGTCACCATTAAGAGAGAGAAAAGACAAGCCACAAATTAGGGAACAATATTTGTAATATATATGTCTGATAAAAGATTTGTATTCCGAATAAAGAACTATAAAGTAATAAGAAAAAGACATAACCTATTAAAAAATGGACAAAAACCTTGAATAGGCACTTCACCAAAGAAGATATCCAAATGGTCAGTAAGTATATGAAAGTGTGTTCCATTTCATTCTTAATTAAGGAAATGCAAATTAAAATTGTGCCAGGGTACCCCTATGCAAGGCACACAATGTCATTTTATTTTATTTTAAAAAATTTTTAATGTTTTATTTATTTCTGAGAGAGAGAGAGTGTGAACAGGGGAGGGTCAGAGAGAGAGAGAGACACAGAATCCGAAACAGGCTCCAGCCTCTGAGCTAGCTGTCAGCACAGAGCCTGACGTGGGGCTCGAACCCATGAACCATGAGATCATGACCTGAGCTGAAGTCAGACGCTCAACCGACTAAGCCACCCAGGCGCCCCACACAATGTCATTTTAGCACAATGGCTAAAATTAAATAGACTGACAATACCAACTGTTGGTGAGGATGTGCGACAGCTGGAACTTTTAGACATAGTAGGAATAGAAATTCGTTTAACCACTTTGGAAAATTTTATGGCAGTTTCTAGCCAAGCTAAACATTTGCTTCCTCTTTGAATCAGGATTTGTACTCCAGCTATATACCCAGGAAAAATGAGTGCATATGTCTGCCAATAGACATCTAACATAATGTTAATAGCAGCTTTATTCACAATAGCCCCAAACTGGAAACAGCCTAGATGTTCTCGAACAGAAGAATTTATAAACAAATTATGGTATTTTTATATAATGGAATACTCCACAGCAATACAAAAGAATAAACTGCTGATATCAGTATCAATTTGGATGAAATCTCACAAACATTATGTTGAGCAAAAGAAACAGTGACATTTCCAGTATAGACTAAATGAATCAAGATGATAGCAAATTAGTGGTTACCCCTCTTTTGGAGGGGATGATGAATTATGATTAGAAAAGGGTATAAGAAAAGTTTCTAGAGTGCTAAAAAAGCTTTGTATGTTGATCTGGGTGCTGGTTACATGGGTGTACACATGATAAAAATCACTGAGGCGTACACTTAAGATGTGTGCACATTCCATTATGCACTTTACTGTATTATTTTTTAAAACAGTTCTGTTGAGATATAATTGACATACCATAAACTTCACTCATTCTATGTGTACAATTAAGTGCTTCTTCGTATATTTATCGAGTCATGCAACCATGACCACAATCCAATTTTAGGACATTTCTGACATTCCAAAAAGGTCCGTTGTGCTTATTTGCAGTTACTTTTCTTTCTCACTTTCAGCCCCAGGCAAACATTAATCCGCTTTCTGTCTCTATAGGTTTTCCTTTTCTCAACATTTCATATAACTGGACTCACACAATGTGTGATGTTTTGCATCAGGCTTCTTTAAGCTAGCATGCTGTTTTTGAAGTTCTTCCGTGTTATGGCATGTACCTGTGCTTCATTCCTCTTTCTTGCTCGATAGTATTCTGTTGTAATGGATATACCATGTTTTATATATCCATTCATCAGTTGGTGGACATTTGGATTATTACCAATTTTAGACTTATGAATAATATTACTGTGGATATTTGCAGACAAATCTTTGTGGACGTATTTTCATTTCTTTTGGGTTAAAATACTTGAGTGAAATCACTCAGTTATATGGTAAATTTATGTTTAACTTTGTAAGAAACTGTTGAACTGAATTTTAGGTTATGTTTTCATCTTAATGTTTCCATTTATTCTTTATATTTGCCAAAATTTTTTAATGAACTTGTGAACTACATACACACATAATACTATATTAGAGCCACTGCTTACTAAAATTTTTTAAAATATTTATTTATTTTTGAGAGAGTGAGAGACAGAGCATGAATGGGGAGGGAGCAGAGAGAGAGGGAGACACAGAATCTGAAGCAAGCTCCAGGCTCCAAGCTGTCAGCACAGAGCCCAACATGGGGCTTGAACTCATAAACTGTGAGATCATGACCTGAGCCGAAGTTGGACACTTAACCAACTGAGCCACCCAGCTGCCCCAAGCCACTGCTTATTTATCTGATGTTTTTTCCAGACTTGTTTCAAGTTTGAAGAGATAAGGCAGGAACATAATCCCAATCATATAAGTTGATCTGAAGTAGATTAGAAGTTTTTGTTAAATATGATCACATTTTAAATTTTGCAACTTAGCACCTAAAAATATGCCAGCTTTTATCCAGACTCATGCTCACTCTCATCAGTTTTCTCCTGTAGAAGAACATAAAATTCTGGATGGAAGCTGAAACAGAAAGCCATTAGCCAAAAGAGTGCTCTTATTTTAGAAGGTGATAAACTGATAAAAGAGAATTTTAATGTGTTAACCATCAGCTTATCAATTTAGGGAAGTTTTACCAGTGTAATGTGTAATTTATGAACTTGCCTCATAGAACATAAGTTAAAAGGCAAAGTTGATACCTGTCCCATTTAAAGTGTTGAAGTTCATCATTATTAGCTTTTCATAGACACTATTCTATAAAAGTGTCTCTGTTTTGGAATATGAAATAGGGTGATCCTTATTCGTGGTGCACACATGCAAACCTTTTCAGCTGTTGTTTTTCATGCTGGCTGTCCTCCTCCCAGCTGTTCATTTTATTACTGTTACTTTATTCTATTTCTTCAAAACCACATTCAAAGTAAATTCTTTTTAAGTTTATTTATTTTTGTTTTGAGAGACTGTGTGTGTGTACGAGCAGAGGGGAGGGGCAGAGAGACAGAGGGAGAGAGAGAATTCCACATAGGCTCCACACTGTCAGGACAGAGCCTAACGTGGGGCTCTATCTCACGAACCGTGAGATCATGACCTGAGGTGAAACCAAGGGTTGGATGCTTAACTGACTGAGCCACCCAGGCATCCCCTCTTCACAACCACATTCAGAGAACTGACAGAAATAATTGTTCTTTCTGAACTCATTAGCATTAGAGGTACATAGTGGGAGCTGGTTTTGTTGGTGGTGGCTTTCATCTGATAATGTAGCACCTGGGTGGCTCAGTTAGTTAAGTGTCCAAATCTTGATTTTGACTCCCATCATGCTCTCATGGCTCATGGGGTTGAGCCCCAAGTCAGTCTCTGCACTGACAGCCTGGAGCCTGCTTGGGATTCTTTCTGTCCCTCTCTCTCTGTCTCTACCCCACTTGCTTGCATTCACTTTCTCTCTCTCTCAAAATATATAACTAAACTTAAAAAAAATTAGCACTGGGGTCTTACCAGGCATTGGCTTGGAATTGGATTTGTCCTTGTTGGTTTTACCGTGGAAACTTCTGATGTACTAAGTAGGATCGAAGATGAAAAAAATTAAAATTATGATTATGATTTTTTTTGTTTTTATTGTTGGATTTACTTGAATGAAAGATAGACAGGAAATGTTAGAGTAAAACATTCTTTCTTCCCTTGCTAGTTTGATTTTTGAGAATCATCTTTGACCTGTGCATTAGAAATAAAATCCTTTCTTAGGTCCATTTTTCTGTTCCTGCTTCCACCCCTGTTCTTTTTCTCATTGTCTGTCCTGCTGTTCTGAAGAACAGGATACCTGCCTGTGTACCACCTTTTAAGACATTCTATTAAGCAGTTTTTTTTTTTTTTGCAACTTTCAGAAAAATCTTGGCTGAGAAAGCTATGCAGTAAGTTTCTTCCTTTAGATCTTTCTCTGTTTTCTTCTTAACTTATAACAGCAAAAGTATCCTTATAGGATTTTACTTCTTTAACTCTTCAAATATTCCAAAATATTCCTGCCTCATTTTTCATTCTCCTACCTTATCCTGTTATATTGTATTCCAAATAGCCTGCTTACCTAGGCACACTCTCTTAAGCTGTGTCACACAGGCCTCACTGCTTAGTTTGAGGACTGTCTATACCAACACTCAGAACTGGTAAGGCAGCTTACTCTGCCATCATGGCCTCTTACTAGCCTGCCTTAGAGAGGAAGCTGGGCTAGAGAGAGTCTTCACTAACCACTTAGCTTATGGCTCCCTCTAGTGCCTTCATTTATTCTTCACATATTTGTTGAGCATG